GGACTCTAGAGACTCCGGAAAAATCTGAATTTAACGAACTCGTACGTAGAGTAGAACTAAAAGAAGAAACAATGACAAACTAATCAATTTTATCGTGTTCACCCTTAAATATATCCCACAAGTCAAAATCGATTGGGCGTATAGTGAATGGTGATGATAAATAGGATAATTCACTAATTGAATTCACTGCAATGTCATGAGCATATCCGGAGGGTTGAAATTGCCTAAGAAGGGGTCTTCCATAATCGAAACAAGCAAGCAATGACGAAATAGAAAGGCTATCGGTGAGACGAGCGTAATTTGGACTTGAATTGTCTCGACTATTACCGAAATTTGCTCAAATGACCTCGAGTGTAAAACAAATTGCGCAAGCGAGTCCGGTATATTGAGTTTGCTTTGGAATGACACTCATATTATCATATTTTTGTACATTAGTCAACGACGTGTAAATAAGCACAAATTATAAAATTTAGAAATAAATCTTTAAAAAAAACCAATCCCTTCTCCAATTAAGCCATCGCCTAAATCATTTCCTTACCCATACCTGTACCTCCCTCTCCATCCAATGGGAGCGAACAACAATTTAAAATAATAAAATATAAATAATTAAAAAATTTCCAAATCTAATTCCTTATTCCCACTCACCTGCATCATTCCTTCTACTTCCTTCCTCACTCTCACAGCCCAACACAAAATCCCCAGCCCATCCTGACTGCTTCCCAGATCCAAATTCCTTTGCCTATAAAACCAATTTTGAGAAATCAACAACAACAACAACAACAACAAAGCCTTAATCCCACTACGTGGGGTCGGCTACATGAATCCTTTTTCTCCATTGCGTCCTATTTAGTGTCATATTTTCATTTAGTTCAAGTAAAAAATTTTGATAATCAGAAAATGTATCCCAAATTTCGCATCCCTCAAAATTTGATCAAAACAATTATATAGAATTCTACACGTCGAATCGATCAAATTGAAAGATAGCACTATACATAAATTTTAAACCTATAAAAAGATAAATTATAAAATTATAAGTTTAATTAACCTTTATTAACTCTAATTGAATCCATAATCTCTCCCTCGGCATTGTAGCCACCGTCATTTCTTCGTGATTCTCAATCATAAGATGGTTCAAACGGTTGAGATCCAATGGAATCATGTTAAATGTCGCATCCCAGCTTCCCTCTCTCGAATTCTCCCTCACGCTAGAAGCTTGCCTAGTTCCTGTAGCAAGGAGCGAACTGAGCGGGCAGCGGTCTGGGAGCTGCAACTCACAGAAAGAAGTTCCGAGATGTTCCAGGGAGATTTTGGTAAGTTGAAACTCCATTTTTCATGATATTCTAGATATTCTTTCTCTTACACTTCCATTTTTATATTTTCTACGAACTCAAGCATTCTTGATGAGTTTCCTGTCATTGTAGCTTTGACGGTCAACCGAGAGCTACGCTTTCTGGTAGGTCCATTTCAAGAATTTTGGAGAAGTGTTAATGGCATAGGATAAAGAGAGAAGAAGAAAATAGTTGGTTATGCCGAGAAGTCCTTTTGAGATAAGAATTTTATGAATGAGCCATGTTTGGGGTTAAATCACGAGATAAGTCAATTTCATAAAATCCTAAACTGTTTAAGAATACTAAGTTGTTTACACTAAGCGGCGAGCTCGAGGCGAGCTTAGGGAAACTCGTTGTAAGGCAACTTTGTTATTTTAGATAAAGTAATTTTGTGCTAACTTAAGAAAAATAACTCTGTAATTTTTTATATAATTATATGTTTAACACTATTTCACTTAGAATTTTCTACATATAGTGGATAAATACCCACATAGACTGTATTAATCTAAATTTACTGTATTAATATAAATTTAATGTCCCTACAATACCTATGATTTTACTATATTATGAATATGATGAGCATATTTATGAAATCAATTACTTGCAGATATTTATTTATTATGATTCTTGCATATAATATATGAAATGTCTATGATAAATATTTGTTACGAAAATTATGATTTAAGAAATGTCACAAGTAATGTTATAGGTAGGCTATTACATGAATAATTGCAAGTGCAGAAGATAGGGAACGATGAGATTCCAAACACCTAACATTCAAATTGACAAGAAACTCAGAGAACCATTGGGATTAGATGAGGGAGAAAATGTAGGGAACTACTGGTACCAGAGAGACTATTGATAACTCTTATGTTATGAGGGGCCCAATCTTTTATCAAAATTTGATTTAGCCTAAGTGTTGGGTGACAGCCTATGACATGACGACACATGGAAATAATTGAGACATATTGAGACATAAAATTACAAAGGAAATTCATATTATTACATTAGTAACTCTTATAAATATGCTTATGATTACACATGAATGAATGAAAAATGTCTTATACAATAGTCATGATTCTCTGCATTACATGTCTTTTCTTTTAAATGTTTTATACAGTTGTAGTATATTGTGACAAGTGTTGTTAACATGTACATGGGTTTCATATAACATGATTTTTTTTTTGTATAAAATCTTATTTTAGTCTTGACTATTGTGTCGAGCATGTCGTAACTCACTCTACATTATTAACTTTTAAGAAAGCGTAAGGGGCACGGGGACAAGTATTTAGGTGTGGCTTGTAGAGATTTTTTTATACGTATTTTTATTATTTTAGATTTAACAATCATGTATAGATATATATGTTTTGGTGAAATGATTTTACATGTTTTTAAATATATGTGAATGTGAATAAATTATGAAATAAAATATATCATGTATGTTTGCGACAACATAAATAGACTAGTTCATCACTCATTGGATCTTGATTTTATAAGTCAGAACGAGTGGTGGTAAGAATGGGTCCTGATTTTGTAAGTCATAACGAGTGTTGGTGAGAAATTAGTCTGACAAAGTCATCTTGCACCGCAATTGACTTTTAAAGGGGGCTAGTTGATGTGTGATGGAAAGTAGCATCAAAGCATAGTTATTATTTGAAAAGAATGATAAAAGCATGTTGAATTTAGAAGATGAATGAAATAAAATATGAATTGATCTATAAGTTGATGGATCTGGGTTGGTAACTCATATGACTTGAGATATCATGCATACACGATATAATTATTATGTGATACATTGCATTTCAATAATAAATTATGTCAATACAAATGAACATGCTTGCAAAAAAACCAAAAAGTACTCGGTCAATCTCATAGTCTAATTGCGAAGTAGGAAGTACAAGTTGAAAATTTCTTGAACAAAAATAATAGTTAAAATAAGTCAAATGAGGAAACTAAAGTCGTTGAGTTACAGAGCATTATGCAGTTGATATCACAAGTGGTTGACAAAATGACTTCTATTGAAAAATATTCTACAATACAATGCTCAGATCTGAAATTGGGGCAGAAGTTGATTGACACTTGAAGATCTTTTAGACATTTAAGTCGCATGCATTCATAGGTGTCAGTGACCCCACAGCTATTAAAGATTGTCTATCAATGATAGGAAAGATTTTGATGGTATGATTTGTCCGGAAAATAGAAGTGTTGCTAGCCACTTTTATGTTAGAAGACAACGCGGAGAGGTGGTGGCATGCACAACATATAGAGAAACTTCAGCTGAAACCTCTTCCATAGATTCAGTCGGATGATTTTGTCAAAAGTTTCAATGATTTATTCATTCTGCCTTCAGCCAAATTAGCATTGCAAGATAAATTCTTCAATCTGATTTAGGGGTCCAGATCAGCTATGCGTTATAAGACAAAAATTACTTTTCTTTCTAGATATGCACTCTGCTATGTCAGTACCCAAGAAAAAAAATGCCATGAATTTCTATACGGCCTCAAAGATCAGTTGAGGTTGGAGGTTAACTTTGGTTTAGTTTGAAATCAATGATTTCTCAAAGCTAGTTGAAAGAGCCAGATGAATTAAAAATAAGCTAAACTTCTTCGATTAACGATGGCAACCTCAGGTAAGCAAGTTAAAAGATTTTGGAAAAAGAGAACTTCAGAGCAATAAAATTAAATCAGAAAGTAAGCATAAGCACCTACAGTAAGAAATTTCATTTTTTGAAAAATATGAAAAAAAAAACATTTTGGGCAATATTTAATGGGTTCAAAAACGTGTTATAATAGATGTGGACAGTTGAGACATCTTCAGATGAACTATCCGCAAAAATTCAGATGAACTATCCGCAAAAACAGAAAAGAGACAGAGATAAATTGACAAATCAAGAACAGAAACAGCACAAGAAATTTTTTGGAGGCTGTCAGCCCAATAAAACTTAATTTTTGAGAAAACCTTCAACTCAAGTCATCGGTGAAACTTATTAGCATTGAACTGAACAACCAGTAAAAGTCATAGTTTTTGTAATTACCCCTCAAGAAGTTAAAAAATCTAAAGTAGTTACGTGTGCACTTCTGATTCATAATTAGCCTAACAATATTATATTTGATTCAAGTGCATCGCATTCTTTCATTCATGTTGAGTTTGCTACTAGTTTATCTATTGAATTATGTAA